TCTATCTATCTATCTATCTATCTATCTATCTATCTATCTATCTATCTGTCTGTCTGTCTGTCTGTCTGTCTGTCTGTCTGTCTGTCTGTCTGTCTGTATGTCTGTCTGTCTGTCTGTCTGTATGTCTGTATGTCTGTCCGTCCGTCCGTCCGTCCGTCCGTCCTTCAGCATTTGCCTTTCTAACATCCTTCTTCTAATTTACCCACTGTCCCTCCTCTGGACATACCATACCACTTTATTTATAAAGCACTTAAAACAGCTACAAGGCCAACCAAAGTGCTGTACAGACAGAACAACAGGTAACACACAAAGCAAAATACAAAATGAGGTAAATCAGAATATAGACATAAAAACGATGCAGATAATGACGACAAACCAGTGTGGAGCATACAGGATCAAACACAGATCATCTGGTGTTGAAAGATACTGAATAGTAGAGAGTTTTTAAACAGGACTTGAAAACAGAGAGGGAGGGGCCTGTCTGACAAGCAGAGGTAACTCGTTCCAAAGTCTTGGTCCTGCTACAGAGAAGGGCATGTCCACTGTCCCTCCTCTGGACATGTCCAAACCACTGTCCCTCCTCTGGACATGTCCAAACCATCTCAGTGTGTCCTCTCTAACTTTATCTCCCAGTTGTTCAACCTGTGCTGTACCTCTGATGATCTCATTCCTGATCTTCTCCATCTTGTCTCTCCTAAGAAGAACCTCAACATCTTCATTTCTTCACTTCCAGTTCTGTCTCCTGTCTTTTTGTCCATGTCTCTGTCTCTAGACCATACAACATAGCTGGTCTCACCACTGTCTTGTAAACTTTTCCTTTGACCTTTGCTGACACCCTTTGGCCACAAATCACTCCTGAAACTTTTCTCCATCACTCCATCCTGCCTGGACTCTCTTCTTCACCTCTTCACCACATTCTCCATTTTAGAATAGAATAGAATAGAATAGAATAGAATAGAATAGAAACAGCCTTTATTGTCCCACGGATGGGAAATTCAAGTGTAACAGCAGCAACAGATGAAAAGATTCACACAAAAGTTCATAAATGTTAAAAACAATATATAAAGAAATAAGATAAAAATATAAATAATAATGGATTGGAACATTGATAAGGACAGACTATTGGCAGTACGGTATTATAGGCAGAGTGTGTGTTTTAGCAGAGGTCAGCATGGATTTATGGAGTCCTCTGTAGCACCTCTCACACGTGGAATACCTCAGGGATCTGTACTTGGCCCCTTCTGTTTTCCCTTTACTACCTCTGGGATATATTCTCCGGAAACATGGTATTTCATTTCATTTTTACGCCGATGACAGACAAATTTATGTTCCTTTGAAACAAGATAAACAGTATGTCTTGAACCAACTCCTGGAATGTATGGCAGAAGTCAGAGCATGGATGTCACAGAACTTTTTACACTTTAATGAGAAAAAGACGGAGGTCTTGTTGTTTAAGCCCAGTGATGGTTCTAAAGTCCATGTTGATCTGGGTCATTTAACAAAACATCTGACTGAGACAGCAACCAACCTGGGTGTGAGGCTGGACAGTGATTTTAAACTGGATGCTCAGATTAAATCTGTGGTCAAGTCCAGCTTTTATCACCTGAGACAACTGGCCAAGGTGAAACCATCAGTTAGAGATTTTAATCCAGGCTTTCATCACAACTCGTCTGGACTAATGTAATCCACTTTATGTGGGTCTGAGCCAGTCGTTACTGACTCGACTTCAGCTGGTTCAGAACGCTGCTGCTCGTCTTTTAACTGGCACCAGAAAATGAGAGCACATCACCCCTGTCCTAAAATCACTACACTGGCTCCCAGTTAGTTTCTGGATTAATTTTAAGGTTCTTTGGTTTGTATTCAAATGTCTTCATGGTCTCGCCCCACAGTATCTGTCTGACCTTCTCCAGCCGTTCAATCCCTCACGCTCTCTCAGATCAGCTGATCAGCTGCTGTTGTCCATCCCAAAGTCCAACAGGAGGCTGAGAGGTGACCGAGCGTTCTCAGTCGCTGCCCTGAACTGTGGAACGAGCTGCCTCTGCACGTCAGACAAGCTGACTCACTTCCTGTTTTTAAATCTGCTCTGAAGACTTTTTTTCCTCTGTGGCTTTTAACGCAGCTTGAAATGTTGGTTTTACTGTTTTAAGTTATTTGTTTTATTGTTGTTACTGTTTGCTGCTTTATGATTAGGTAGTTCATTACTTTATGGTATTTGTTGAGTTCATAGTTTTTATGCTTGTATGTGTTAGTGTACAGCACTTTGGCCAGCGGAGTTGTTTTAAAGTGCTTTATAAATAAAGTTGTATTGTATTTAATCCTTATTGAGTTTGTTGGGAGCAGTGATGGTAGTAGAGTCTAGGGGGCGTCCAAGCACCGAGCTGGCCTTCTTGATGGTCTTATCTAGCTGCTTCTTCTCAGCTGATGATAAGCTGCTGCTCCAACACACAACACCATAGAAGATGGCTGATGCCACTACCGAGTCAAAGAAGGTCTTCAGGAGCACCCCCTGCACTCCAAAACACCTCAGTCTCCTCAGCAGGTAGAGTCTGCTCTGACTCTTCCTGTAAAGTGCATCAGTGTTGTGAGACCAGTCCAGTTTATTGTTCAGGTGAACACCCAGGTACTTGTAAGAGTCCATGATCTCAATGTTCACACCCTGGATGTTCACCGGGGTCAGTGAGGTGGACCTGTGCCTGTGGAAATCCACCACCAGCTCCTTAGTTTTAGCAGCGTTGATCAGGAGCTGGTTCTGCTGGCACCAGTTCACCAAGTCTGTCTGTACTCTGAGTCGTCCTCACCTGTGATGAGGCCGACTGTGGCAGAGTCAGAGAACTTTTGCAGATGGCAGTGTGGGGAGTCGATGGTGAAGTCTGCAGTGTAGAGGGTGAAGAGGAACGGTGCCAGCACAGTTCCCTGTGGGACCCCCGTACTGCAGACCAGCCTGTCAGAGACACAGCCCTGTGTCCTCACATACTGTGGGTGTCCAGTGAGGTAATCCAGTATCCACTGGGACATGTGGTGATCCACTCCTGATAACTCCAGCTTGTCCTGCAGAAGTCCTGGCTGGATGGTGTTGAAAGCACTGGAGAAATCAAAGAACATGATCCTCATGGGGCTTCCAGGTTTCTCCAGGTGGGTCAGAGCTTGGTGCCTGAGGTAGATGATGGCATCATCCACCCCTATGCCAGGCCAGTAGGCAAATAGCAATAGATCCAACGAAGACCTCACCAGGTGGTGCAAATGGTTGAGGACCAGCCTCTCGAGTGTCTTCATCAGATGTGAGGTCAGAGCCACCGGCCTGTAGTTGCTGAGGTCCTTTGGATGTTTGGTTTTTGCTACCGGTACCACACAGGAGGTCTTCCACAGTTGTGGTACTTTCTCCAGCTTCAGGCTCAGATCGAACATAAATCCCATGATGCCACACAGTTGATCTGAGCAGCACCTCAGGAGCCTGGAGCTGATTCCATCTGGACCTGCAGCTTTACGCACCTTGAGTTTTCACAGCTCATTCCTCCCCTGAAGAGTTGAGAGGGACAGGATGGAGGTGGGGGAGGGGGCTGTGAGATGGAGTCTTCTGGAATGAAGGTGGTGGCTAATGGCTGAGAAGAGAAGTTGGCAGTCATTAAGGGTGATGGGGTTGACAGCAGGGGGGACAGGGCTGGAGTAGGTGTGGGGGTAATTGGCTGATCAAATCTGTTAAAGAACTGGTTCAAGTCGTTCACCCCCCCTGGACAGTGGACCCCAAGTCCTCGATGTCCTGCACCTTTGTGACCTCTGCTCCTTGTAGCCTCACTGTTCCATCTCCTCCCTTTCATTTACACACATGGACTCTGTCTTACTACGACTGACTTTCATTCCTCTTTCAAGTGCATACCTCCACCTCTCCAAGTTCTCTTTCACCTGTTCCCTGTTCTCACCACAGATCACAACGTCATCTGCAAACATCATAGTCCACAGAGATTCCTGTCTGACCTCATCTGTTGGTCGGTCCATCACCAGAGCAAACAAGAAGGGGCTCAGAGCTGATCCTTGATGCACTCCCACCTCCACCTTGAAGCTGTCTGTCACTCCTACAACACATCTCACCACTGTCCTGCTGTCCTCATACATGTCCTGCTGTCCTCATACATGTCCAGTACCAGTCTAACATGTCCTGCTGTCCTCATCTTTCACCACTTGCTCTAGATG